TTTTTTTTTTTTTTTGTGATTATAAAATCATGCATTTATCATGCCTGTGTCAGAAACAACAGAACCCAAAATAAACCTTATCATACATTTGGAAGTTTGATAATTTTTGTCCATTGAAAAGTTTTACTCATTACCATATGATTGGTAACTCTGCTACAGTGGCAGAGTACGCTGATAGTGGGAACTTCTATTTCCAGCAGTTTAGGGCGAGGATAGTGGATAAAATAGTTAGATCTATACTGTAGAGATTTACAAAAGTTTTTGTTTCTATATTTCAGCCTTTGGGTCATTTGGTCCTGCCAGCCGGCTCAAGACACTGGAGGGAGGCACCCCTATCTCTATGGAAGTAGCCTTGGTCAGTATCAGCATGTACACATACATACATGTACACAGACATACATACAGACTTACATGTACACATACATACATACAGACTTACACATGTGTGCATATATGCACATGAATGCGATCTCATGTGTACTTGCGTGCATGTTTGTTTCAGTATGTACAATTGCATGTATGAACATGGAAGTGCACATGTGCATGTAATATATGTGCATACAGTATATGTAATATATGTGTATGCATCCATGCCTTTACAATAAGGTTCATCATTATTACTTTGTGAAATAAAACTTTTAATTTGGACACCGACAATGCAATACATACTGTATTCAACTTTCAAAAGTCAGTTATATATTAAGTTGGTATGAAATAAACTGACTTGATCTTCTCCGTCCACACATGAGATCATTAAATCAATAGTGTGTTAAGATCAATACCAGATAACGCTGATGTGACGTCAAGTATTGATCAAGTTCATCATGAAATGATTTCAGTAGAATAACTTAACTTAGTACTGAGTTAACTTTACAGGGGTGAGGTAACACAGAGAAATAAAATCAATTGCACTGACGTTGTTCATTTTGTTTTGCCACAAATTATGTCAGAAGTGAGTTGTGTCTGAGAACTCTTATGATTATGAAAAGGTTAACTTAATAACATAAATATTGACCTTGGCTTAATGGACATATCATTCTGTAATTAATTATAAATTTCTTTATATGAATATATATAGTCCAATATGAATATTGTAATGAAATCAAATGATCAAACCAAATATTAATTGAAAATCACTTATATAATTATAAAAGTTGAAGGAAATTAAACCTAATAGCGATAATATTGTAGTAAGTTTTCATAAAGATCCAGATTCCATTCCTTTTCTTCTCTGCTAAATTAATTATACTCGTCTGTTAAATATTTGTCATCATCATTGTCAGCGTCATCATTATATTATAATAGTTTTATTACTTTACTAGGCACTGCGAAAACTCGTCACAGGTACTACAGTCCACAAACTGACACAAGACTGGATGAAACTTGGCTTCATGTTTCAGAATGAGAACGGACCATTTGCATATGGAATCTATACACAGAAGGTAACAAAACAGAGCTGAATTAAAACTGGAGTTTTATAAAAAAAAAAAGACTTGAAATAATATATGTGCTCAAGTATAAAAGTCTATGAGCAGATATGCTAGTAAAAGATGAATTAAATGATTTTATGTTATGATATGTTAGATGATATGTTAGATGTGTGGAAATATTTGATTGTTCATTTTATAATGTCTTGCAGTTGTTTTTATACAGTTTGCCCAGATTAGAGGTATAATTTCTTTTATTTATTTATTTATTTTAGAATGGCTCCAAAGGATTTATACTCTGTGTACAGGCATTCATTTTGAAGCATCTACTCTTTCGACATTCTAGAGACCTTGACGCACCTTTTGACTTGAGGTGAGCACAATCTGTGTGTGTGTGTGTGTGTGTGTGTGTGTGTGTGTGTGTGTGTGTGTGTGAGAGAGAGAGAGAGAGAGAGAGAGAGTGTGTGTGTGTGTGTATTATGTGTGTCCATGAAAACTGAAGGGTCTAAACTTTTGATATTTTCTCACATATGAATAGATTGGTATTTCAGTGTTTTTTTTTTTCACCTTCATTTTTGGATTAAACTGACAACTGAGGGAGACAGTTAATGATAATAATTCAATATAATATGATAACTAAATGATAATAAGTAATAAGATAACAAGTAACATTTCTACATTTCTTTGACTGAATAATCTTCCTCTAGAACTCCTATATACTACCCTTTGTATCATATTAACTGTAGCAGTTTAGTGAATAAAGTGTGCTTGTTTATTTATGCTTTTCTAGATATTTAACATAGAATTTCTGTTTTCCAGTCTGTTACAACCCACAAGTTGGAAGCGCCGAGATGCGTTAATAGATGCGTTAACGGAGATTCTGTGGCAGGCCGGGGGGAAGACCAGGTGCTGCGTCGCGCTGATACAGGAAACTCGCTGCTTTGATCTTCCTATTGGGTACAGACAAGACTGCCTGTCAGAATACGTAAGTATTGCTTGCACGCACACACACACATACACACACGCACACACACACACAAACAAAATCATACAGACACATGTACATATACCCATACACATATGGGCACAAGTACAAACTCACACTCAAACACTCACACATGCTTGTTAATTCAACATACAAGTGATCAGATGCACATTTGCCTGCACACAAACACACACACACACACACACACACAGAGTGATTTTGGAAATGTGATAACTCACTTTACATTTATTTGCTTTCAGCTCCACTTATTTTACTTTACAAAGTTCCAAGAATTACGCACATGTATCAAGACATATATAAGTTATGTAAGTAGAAATCTTTGCAAGTACAGATATTAAAGTTTTAATCACTACAATTTAAAATGTAGCAGCGCTTAAATATATCATTTATGTAAGTGAAATAATCTATAGCACCTTTTAGTATATTATCATTTTAGGAATAAATTATAAGGATAACAAGGCTGAAGACAAAGCTGGCATAAAGTGTGATGATGAGCCTTTTCTTCTCTCATAAATGCACCTGAACAACATTATTAGCTATTTATTTCTGAATATGATGATAGTGTAAACTTGACTCTCCTAAATATATTGTTTAATGGAAAAATAAAAGTTCTTTTATAAGTTTTTTCACTACTCCACTTTTATTCCCCCACCCAACCACCTTACAACCTTACCCCCTTCACATAGCCTTACTCCCACATCTGTTTATATTCTACCCTACTTCTTCCCCACACAGTTGTGTTCTCCCCATTTCAGTTTGAGTATGAGAGCAGCCATGGTGCACTCCTCTTCCTCTACAGCCTCGTGCTATCGCGCAGTATAGACCAGTAAGTACTAGGAACATGTACATGCATGTACGCACCTGCACTATAAACACATTCCTTTCCTGTCTATTGGGGTGTAGAGCAATAAGTAGGATGAACATACTTGAACATGCATGCATGCGTACACTCAGCGGTAGATTGCTGTGGTACCTACAGTATTATACAGTGCAGAAAAGTAAGGTGCAGCAGGCATGATCACTAGTTACGTAAAACATGCATGCATGAGCACACGTGCACACACACACACACACACACACACACACACCTGCAGAAGGCTTCTGTTGAGGAAATGTTACTAATTTCATAAAGGTATTTTTGATTATATATCCTTAAACCTTTTCACACTAAACCTAAAAGCTAAAACTTTGGTAAGTGTTTATTTTTTAATAGAAGAACTATTATAATTTCAAATTTGGTCATAATAATGGCAATGCACCCTGACTTTCAAAAGAAACTCATCATGTAAGCTAGTGGAAATGGTGAAGGTACACTAAAAGTGAATAGTACAGTTTCCAAGGATTTCTGAAACTCGGGATTCAGTAAAGTATTTTCCCTAAATTTAATACTTTCCTCATATCAGGGTCCTAAATGACATGGGAGAGGTGAAGTATAAACAGCTGATTACAGACCAAGAGGACACCAGTATACCCCTGGTCAACTTAGTCCTGACTGGCCGCGCCGTCCCCTTCCAACACAATGGAGACCAGATATATGATGATGATGGGAAAGTATTGGTAAGATTGAATGTTACAGTAAAACGGTTAATACAGTTACTTCAGACAAATTTCAGATTTTTTGTGTATAATATTTGTTATGTACAAAATAAAATTATGTATGATGTTTCAATAATAATTACTTCAGTACTTTTTAAATATTATATGTATAATAACAGTACTATTATTAGAATTATATGTTCTATTCCTATGTGCAACAGCAAATTAGTTATTTTTTTCTTCACTATTGGTTCCCTAAGAAATAGTATATGTGTATTATTCATGTAATGTGACAGTGGTAAACAGCAAATTCAGGAACATAAATTAATAGTTTATTTGGCGTGGATAATAGAAACTTTCATATTTTATTAGCAGGATTAAAGAGACTTGTTCTAAGAGTATTAAGTTTGTGTTTGTTGTGCAGGCAATTCCAGAGAGAGGAATCCAAGAACGCAGTGAGATAGGGTTTATGTACTGGCACAGAGAGGAGAAAGAGCAACATATCAGAGCCATGGTAAGAATGATAAAATCATAAAAGATGAAGTTTGAGTGAAAGGACCATAGCCACCATTTTCAAAGATGGACATTTTACCATGAAACACTTGTGTGTGCCTAGATCAAAATTTTCACAGAGCAGATCCTTTTCTGGCAAAAAAAGGCAGTTCATTTGACCCTTTCTGCCGCTTTCTACATTCCTGCCTTATCTTGGGTATTTTTAGTGTGGGAGGAGATATAAATCTCCCAGATATACAATATGAATGTCAGTTGTCTTCTCTAGTTAATGGGAAATATGGAACTCTGTTCTCCTACGTTTTAACTTGGTTTATAACATAACAAACCACATTTTACTTTAAAGAAATCTTGATGTTTTTCTACAAGTTGGCCATATCTACAAAACCTGGATTTTTAGGATTATGCCTGTCTTCAGGATTTTAGGTTTTTCTTTTCATATGGTCTAAACGTGACTAGAAATTGCAAGCTACAATTTCAGTATTTTCATTTTTTTTTTTTTTTACAAATTTCACCCATGAATATATAGTTCCTTATGTTTAGGAAATCTTTTTGTAAATCTTTCAGGTTGGCAGTATGTATAAGACCCCCCGCCATCCTATATGGATAACACTAGTAAATGGACTGTATGGACTGTTATTTATCTTTCAGGTAGGCAGTATGTATAAGACTCCACGCCATCCTATATGGATAACACTAGTAAATGGACTGTATGGACTGTTATTTAGTGTTAACCAGCACCTGGTCAGCGATTGGAGAGTAGAACACAAGTTTGACCTCTATTATTACACTGGTCAAGCCACACAGACACGACCAACCAGGCTAAGTGTTGGTAGGTTCTTAGAAAACACATTTTAAATGTTGGCAGGTTAAAAAAAAAGTTTAGTATGTTTTACAGGTTATTCCCCAGAATTTATTTTACTCTTTTTGAATGAACTCACTGAAGTTTTTTTTTTTTTTTCGAAGATTGTTTGTCATTCCTCATGTTTTAAAATTCAAGAGAAGTTTCAAGGGCATGTTGTTGTTTAACTACTTCAACTTGGATAATTACTTCAACTTTCAGAAAAAAAACTTATAATAACACAAAATTTTACAAAAATGTAGATCTTTCATAATTTGCTTTCAGAATTTACAAAGTTTGAACTCTTCCTTTTTTTTCAGAAACTCGACTGGGTAGAAGCAGTCACGCCAGAACTGCCCTGCAGAAGAGTGAGGAAGAGAAGAAGATCCCTCCTCTGGAGAGATGTATCATGACCAAGTAGGACTTGTTATAGTATCCTGTATTAAATAAAAATATAGATAAATTAAAAATTTAAAAAGAATATTGTATCATGACCAAGAAGGACTGGTTTTATACACTGTATTTTAGAAAATATAAATTATTTAAAAATGAAAAAGAAAAGAAGATTGAGTCTGATTTTGTAATAGGTCACTATTTTATGGAGACTGACTGTAAATGTCACCAAAACTAAAATAGTTATTTTCAACTCAAAATCAAAAGCTCACAGTGAAAAATTTTTTCTGTATGGAAAACCAATCCAAGAGGTCAACAAATACATGTATCTAGGTCTCCTTCTAAATCGATCAGGAAGCTTTACAGAAACCAAAAATAATCTCCTACAACGTGCTACAAAGGCATTCTTCAGTCTGTCCAAGTCTCTTCCACTTCAGAGTAATGTTAACACATCCTTAAAAGAGAAATTATTTGATACCCTCATTTCCCCAATCCTTACATATTGCTCAGAGATATGGGGCTACTCGGTGTCAACGGATAACTGCCCTACAGAAAAGTTGCACTTAAAATTTTGCAAACAAATCCTTGGCCTCCATCAAAACGTATCAAACTATGGTGTATACACTGAACTTGGCCGCCTTCCCCTCTATACCAAAATACAGTTTGCATCTGTCAAACTATGGTGTAAAATTATTCAAATGTCTGATGCTACACTAATGAAACAAGCATACATACAAGAGATAAATAGTTACAAGTTGCTGACACCCTATGTCCCACCCGCAGTCCACACACTCAGACCAGCTTGTATGTCATGGTCTGAGGGTATCCGAAAAATCCTTTTCACATTTGGCCTTGGTGATGTGTGGCTTAGCCAGTCACCTCCAAAAAACTTCACCACAATTTTCAAACAAAGACAAACTGACCACTTTACCCAAATATGCAATAGCAAACTTCANACAAGGTCATGACAATCTATGTACCAGTACAGAAATAAATTGAAATTGAAATTGAACTATTTTATGTTTAAAGTATGCAAATTTTTTGCTTTTTTCTTTTTTTTTTGTAACTTTTTAAATTAATGTTATACTTGTTTTATATTTTTCATTTCATTTTCAGCAGTTCATTTTCTTTCAAAATACACTGTATAAATAATTTAGAATTAAGTATGTATAAATGTCAAGTATTTCTCTTTACTTTCAGGTGGTTTGGTGCTCATATTGACTGGAATGGTACTATGCCGTATGTCACATAACCAATGCCTAATACACGAGAGAACTGATATAGGGAATATTATGGAACTCCTTCCTTAGCTTTAAGGTGCATTTACATTGAAGATAGGCTGATCCTTTTTGGACGTACCTTGCTTTAAGGTGCATTTACATTGAAGATGGGCTGATCCTTCTTGGACATACTTTGTTCTACAGGCTCTGTGGTTAAGCTAAACATTACACATGTAGTGTATGTATATATTCTGTTTGGTTTACAAAGTAAGTCACCAGTCCAGTTCATGATATCGATTATGGGAAGTGCTGCTTCCATGAACATCCATTTACTATAACTGCCACAATTTGTTACCATTGAAAAGCTGACACTTTCTGGCTCTCTCTCTCTTCTCTCTCTCCAGTACCCAAGAATATGAAGCTGGAAATTGGTCTTAGCTAAGCCTGCTAATAAAAATCCAAGCTGACAAAAATGTGCTTCACTAGGAATATTAAAGGCTGTTGAGTACTCTACTTTTACAGCTTATATAGTTATACCAAATTCCAATTGCAGAGGCAATGACTTTTTCTCAAAGTTGGGAAAGTGGCCTGTTTAGATATGTCATCAACACTGTTATAGTTTATCATTTGTGAAACAGTTTTAGACGGATAATGAGTTAACTTTATGTGGTCATATTTATCATACAAATGTCATACAAAAGTTCAAACACTTCACACTTGAAACAATCCACATGTGTTTTGAGATGCTAAAGTGTAAAATTTGTTAAAGAAAGATGTTCAGAAGTAATTCCATGGGAATAAGTCAGCAAATACTTTTTTTTTTAATATAAATTAGTAGTAGCATTGCTCAGTGTTCTCCCAGTGAGTTGCAATGGACAACTTTACCTCATAATTTTGCACTCTTCTTTTGGTTTTTGATTGTATCACCGATAAAAGCATATTAACACTGTTATGAAGTTGAATATAAGTGTTTTTTTTTTAATAATAATTATCATTGCTATGTATTAGTAAAAGAGAGGCATTGGTGTTTTACAGGGACTTGGTAAACAACTAGCTGAACTTGTGACACAATTTTAAATTTTCATTTACAATTTTGAACATTTCTTTTTGGATGCTGAAATCAATAGCATGTGTTAAGCCATCACTTGTAGTTTTTTTTTTCCAACTTTTCTAATCAAAACCAAACTATGCCATTGAGTGAATTGCCATCAGTTTGCTCTATGAGGAATATAGCACCAAAATTATGTCTTATTTTGGATTATGGGGCAGATGTTGCAAAAGATTTGAATGCCATATTTTTCTTGCAAAGCATCAAAACTTGAATGAAAAAGAAAAATCAAAGGTGATTGAAGAAGGAAACAAAAGACTTGAATGCCATTCCAGCTGTTTCTGTTGCCAACAGAAAAAAATATATAAATATATAAATCTTTCCTCCCTTTAATGTTTTATTATTAAATTTGATCACTGTAAGTAGGTAAATGATTGAGGTAAATAGTTATGTTGCACATTTAATCAAAGTGTGAGCTAAATCATTTCTCCATTTGATAGGTTCTTTGCTTTTTTATTTCACAGAACATAACTTTGGTTTTTGATCAAGTGTTGTGCTTCCTCTTTTTTCTTTAATTACTTATTTCTCACTAAATATTTTTATATAAATGATGTTTGTGCCAATTAATAAGATAAATGAATTCCCAAATTGAAATGTTAGTGTACAAAACCTTGTTCTAGATCTGTAGTAAGAGTTAATTTGTTACAGAGCAGTTTGTTTTAACAAATGCAGTAAATGTCTTCATCTGTGGAAAATGTTTCAACTTGAAATGAATCTACATGTATCTTCATGATTTTCTCAATTAAAAAATTGTTAAGAAAATTTGAACATTTCACGATTTGTTGTGGATATATCCATGACAGTATGATTTCTTAAAATCACAATGATTTTACTCGTTAACGAGTTAGTTTTTGTTGTGTTTTACATTTGCTAGTTTGGTTTTTGTTTGTGAAGTTGTTTGTAAAGGCTGTTATAGTAAATTATGTTCACTTTCAACCATGTTACTTAAAGAAACTATGTTACTTATAGAAATACCCATTGCAAAGGAATTTAGTTTCTGTAACTTTGATATCCTTTTACATTATGGAAATAAATGTAAGGATGTGAACTTATTTTTGAAATTTGTTTTACTGAGATATTTGGTGATGAGTTTTGTTTAGATTCTAACGAACTTTTTCTGGAAAATGTGTTATACTAGGTAGAGTAGTAGTATTTTGCCATAACAATTCCTTTAAAATACAAAGAAAACACATGAAAATAATATACTCTGGAAATAAAAGTAAAATTTATTATCCTTATCTTAAAATCATTCAACAAATTGTTAACATCATTATCTCTAATAAGTGTTGGTGTATATTAATATATTTCATAATTTACGTTAATACTCTGATACTTCAATACTTAAAAAGTCCTGTTTGCAATTTAAATAATATATAGACTAAGTGCATGTTATTGTCAATCTCTGAAAGAACAAATACATTTTGATAAAACGGTCCACATCATGTAAGTCATGTCTTTTTCTATTCCAGTCATTATGACAGGTTTTCGAATACTACTCTCTCATATAAATATATAATAGTACATGTAATAAGCAATGGCATTAAATATGATGTTAATTAAAACACCTTGGCATTACAAGGAAACCAAACTTTCACGCTGTCAGGATAGATTTAAAATTCTAAAAGTTACCATTAAAAAATGGGTCCCTTTTTTTCTTTGCTAGACAGGCAAAATGACAGGTAAAATGTTGTTTAGAATTGAAAATACAAAGCTAGACTAAGGTCTAGTGAATTAAAATCTCATCTATACCAAGTTGGTTCTTTGCTAATCTTTTACTACAGTACTGAGACTTGTAACATGTATAAATGATAATCATTAAAATAACCCAACCATCTGTAAAGGCAAACAAGAAGTGTCACATAAATTGACTAGAGACACATGAAATTGACTAGAGACAACAAAAATTATTGTATGTATCATAAACAATATAACATAACATAATTTATTAATATTAAATATAATTATAATTAATACAACTTTGTACTGTTTCAATTTCAACTGCTATTCAGCTGATGGCACTTTTCTTTTTAACCGTGATCTTAAAATTTTCATAAATATATCTTTTCATCACCTGAAAGTTTGTGGCCCACTCTGCAAATATATGCAAGTGCACACAGTGAAAAACAAAAAAATTGCTTTACCCCCATCTCAATCATTTAAACATATTGTCTTTAACATGATGTGAAACAATGAGACTAAATGTAGTCAACAAAAACAACAAATTGGAATGTGAAATAAATTAAGATCTACAAGATTCACATGCAAAACGTCCCCCCCGAGATGTGTGTTTAAAACGCAAAAATGAACAATAACAGTAAAAGTGAAGCAAATAGCGCCAGCAACAAAACTGCCATGTTCTGAATGAGTCCTGTGACGGGCACCTTCCTGATTTCCTCGGCTGCCTTGTCCCATTTGTTTGGTCCCTGAAGACGCCACTGGGAGGCGCCACAACTGCTCAGCAGAAGCCTGCAAGACAAGTCCAAAGGGAGTCTTTAACAAGATGAGAATGGTTTTATCCATCAGCACCATGCATAGCAGGGCTAAATAGATTACCTTTTTTATAAAGAATATTAATTTACAAAGCTCAAATCTATACGAGTTTTTCTTTTGCAATATGCTCAAAAAATTGTGAAAAAGAACATAATGATAATAGCCCTCTATGTTGGAACACATTAATTTAATAAATCTGCCAAAAAACAATGTTCTGTCATTAATTTATAAAAATCTTGTAGGGGTGTTGAATCTCTGCCCATACATAATATGTTCTTAGCCAAAACATCACCATTCATTCAATCATATCAACACCAGTCTGAGAAAGACATGACTACTGCAATGTCGCACAAGATTTAATGTTTGTGTTAAGAGAATTTGTCACTGTATAATTTCCTACCTCCAAGCTAACGTAGGGTGTCTCCAAAGTTGAGGTTTGGCTCCAAACTTTGCAGCGATGTCATCGTTATACAGAATGGGGTCCTTCTGTATTGTATGTCTGGCTGACGCAAAGTAACGATCTGCATGCTGACGCTGAAATTCATGACACAAATCTTTTGAAATATTTCAGAAATTTGGGGGTATACTTCTGTAACAGTGCTCTTTATTAAAGATAAATTCCTTACTAGTTATTATGAATTTTATTGTCTACAACAGTGAGTTTTTATTTTTTCAAATATAGTTTCTTTTTCATTTCTTATCATCTAAAACTGTGAAAACTTCTTTTGGGGAAACCTCAGAAACTAGTAATTTTTTTTTTATAACTTTCCTTGATGATCCTATCAAAAATCTCTCAATTCATCCATTTATTACCTTGTCTTTCTCAATACTCTTTTCCATTGCTTGTTTGCTGGGCAGTTTGACTTTACCCTTGCACAGCTCTGCAAACCATCTGGACTGTATCTCTGACATGGTCAAGACTCCCCCTGACGCTGGCTGGACGAAGCCTATGAAGGCAAGCGTGTGGCCCACTTCTGGGGAAAACACATTCTTGTACAGCTGAAATGTTGGGTGGACATACAAGTTGGAATATTTGTCTAAGTGTTAAGTATTGGAAAGACTGCAGTATTATCTAACAAAGTTACTTTTAAAATTTCGCAAATCAGTGTTATTTCCTAATTTGAGAGAGTGAGTGTGAGTTATTAAATGTCATTTATGTCCTCAAGGAACCTTCAAGATGATATAATTTATTTTTCACCTAGAACCATATGAATATTCCTTTATCTAGAAACATAATATAACATTCCATGCCTATTTTTAAGCCAGTAACCAAGACAAACACTCATATCAGCAGTGCCAGTGATTGAATGTTATATACCCATTCTATAGAGGTATTAAACATCATTTAAGCCCTGGAAGTACCTTGATGTGGTTCGTCCCCTCATCTAGCACCTTGGAGCGGACATCATCTGCCAGATACGGGAGGTCGATTCTGTACCCAGTGCACAGGACAATCTGGTCAAACTCTGCGGACTGACCGTCAGTAAAGTGGACAGTCTTGCCTTCAATTTTCTGAAGAAGAAAAAATAATCCATTCTTTTAATGGAATTTCCTGACTTTTTTTAAAAACACAACACTAATATATGTGAAAAGATCAGTATAATTAGATCTCTGAATAATTTGCCTTACTGTGGCTAACAGCAACTAAGAAGAGTTCAATCTAAACATTGAGGAGACCCTGAAAATAGATCCACCCTCAACCTATTCAAAGATACTGAAAAATGGCAGCTTACCCCTGACTAAAATTATAAAGGTGATTACTCCTCCAGATAAGATAAAATACATCCATTAGGTTAGTTTCTAGACTTAAAACACATTTTTATAAAGAAAAGATTAATCTAGGTTACATTTCATTTCTCAAGTTTGGCCAACTAAGTAAGGGGTAAAAGGTTCACTTTTTCAGAAAAAGAACCCCCTTTAAAATTGCTAGGTTCAGGCCTGCATGGATGCAATTTTAATTCCATTGTACAGTGTAACCTCTGACTCAAGAAATTTCATGATTATACCTGAATATTTGGCACAATTTTGATCTGTCCTCTCTGTATGTGGTGGTAGAGGACAGGACTCACGCTAGGTTGGGTCTGTAAGGCATGCATCTTGGGATTCAAACCATACCTGTAAAAGTTGCACATACCATTTTGTGACATAACTGATACTTTTTATTTCCTGTTCATCTGTACTCTTCAATACATGTTAAAAGTAAAAGGCTATCTGTCAACCTATTTATGAAGTCCTATAATATTTTCATTTAACTACTCTCATAATGGAGATGGAGACTGATGGATTTTACTCATAATGGTTTTTAATTATGTTTTTATTTATATTTCAAAGTTCTTAAAAAGAAACTAAAATCTGTTTATAGATAGTAATTTTTGCAACTGATCTATAAAGAGTATACCTTTGCACATTGCATACCTTCAAAATAATAATAAAATTATCTTCATATTCACTCACATGCTAGGGTTCCCATGCAGCAACTTTATCACAGTTTCTAAGATAAATGTGCCCAGTTTCCAAGGCAACCAGAGGAAGGCGCGGCAAGCGTAGTGGTCCACGGGATGTCCAAACAGGTAGTTAGGTACCACCCAGGCCCCAGACCTGGTACTCAGCCACACTCTGGGACATCTGGTTAGAGGTATAAAAGATGCAGGTGCNCGCAGGCGATATCGCCTCTCTGATCCTCTAGTTAAGATCTATAGATCAACTCAAATCTACAGGAACTCTTGCTGAATGCAATCAGCTTAACTAAATGACAAGTCTCCTCCTTGCATTAAGTAAATCACAGATATAATACTGTTGATCATATTATACAAATACTTTTGAAACAAGAGGAGGTGTGTCATTTAGTTCAGCTGATTGCACCTAGCAAGAGTCTCGGCAGAGTAAGGGTGATCTACATTGACCAGTGGTGTCTACGGGAATGGGTCCTTAGTTGAAACAAAACAAACAAACAAAAAAAAACAAAAAATATCACTTTCTCAATTCAGGCTGAGTTCTAACATTTTCTTGTCCAATTTCTGAAAGACATGGTATGCATGCATGGTAAAAATGAATAAGAAGCAGGAATTCTATCTTTAAATTCTTGACTTTCAGGTTTTATATGCTAGAAAGTATAGTAATATATAGTTAAAGCAATAATAACTCTTCATTTCGGCCAAAAAATGAATTTTCCTGGAGTAAACAACAATTTTCCCATACTTACCAATGGTTAATGAATCCATTTTTACATTCAAAGTTAGTCCCTTGTTTTTTTCTAAAAAGTTTGTTTTTTTGTTAAAATCTCTTAAGAGATTTTAACAGAGTATAGACATCAATGGAGGTCACGTGGTCTAAGTACAAGTTCAAATATCAGAATAAAAGCTATAACTGCTGTTTTTGTGGTAAAACAGAAAATAATATATTTCTATGAGTTATTCACAAGGTTTTTATTGTGAAATATAGATCTCATACGAAGAGTTATTATCCCTTTAAAGGATTTGCATCATGCCGTCAGAATGGCCTGAACGGAACATATTCTTCAGAAAACATGCCCAACTAACGATATCTTTATCCAAATACACAAATTAAAAGCTCATTTTGTAAATTTTTGGCTTTAAAAAACGTCCTATTTGCTCGGCCTGAGAGTTAATGAGCTACGTTGTCACGTGGTCTGATGACGACAATCGAGCCACTGGAGAACAGAGCGTGCTTAGCTGTCAAACTGAGCTGCATTGTCTACCTGTAAGATGACTTCTCTGGCTTCTGATAAAAGTTTATACTCATTCAAATCTCTTACCCGAGGGGTCTAAATCCTCGTGAAGCTTTGTAAAACCATTTCCCGTCTAGTCAATTCTTTAACAAGCATTTAATCATGGTTATCCCAAGTTGTATAAAACACTGCATTTGAATGAGTTAAGGGAAATGTTGATTATTGCATATGAGGTCCATGTTATTTGTGAAATTCAATTTATTTTATTAAACCGCTGACACTCCGTCTTGCATACTTATATTAAACTAATGTAAACAATGCCCGTTACCTTTACAAGTCCTAACTTAATCATCCATCTAACTGGAACTTCCTTTACCTCTTAATTAGAGGGTTAAATGGCATTCAATTTGTCTTGCTTGTACCGAACGCACTCTCTATCTACGCTTTACTCCAGTTATCTCAGGTAAAAATCTACCTGTGCGTTAGTTACAAAGAGCAGCTCCCGTAGACCTGGGGGTACTAGATGAAATCTGAACACCAGGTTTATCAAGGAGCTAGAGAAAGAAAGGAAGAATTTTTCCTGCACAACTTCATAGGAATTTTAACACGGACTTGATCTAGCTTAGACCTCCAAACTAACAGGGTGACATGGGCAATTTTCACAAAAAAATCATAAAACTATATTTCAGTTAACTGCCTTTAAAATAAATATACCGTTCTGGGTAAATTAGAATAGTTATTAAATCGCGAGAATATTTTTGACTTAAATGATGATTTTATTATTAATGGAAATTAAGCTACTATATGAGGTACATTTGCTGTGATTACACTGTCCTTCATGTTTTGCGTAAGTCTACATCTTGCTGTATGTGCTTGTAATTTTTTAAAATATGTGCGTACAATTTTTGCAGGTCTAGTTACCCCCCTGTTATGTGATGAGAGTATAAATTTGGCAATTAGTTCCTTAGCTTATTTAAATAGAATTGCAGTGTACAGGGGTGTAACCAGATCCTTTAAAATTGTACTCACAGATTTTGAAAATTCCCAGGTACGATTATATTCCGTGAAAAATACACTTAATTTATGGAGAATAATATCATGGTTGGCTCAAAAAATTGTATGCACAGTGCATCCGTGCATATGCCTGGTTACGCCCCTGGACTGTAAAATTTTCAACAAGATGTTGGCGAAATAGCCCATTACTCTTTGTAGGTATTTCCTCCGTCAAAGTTTGTCTAAAATTATCTTTCAATCTTTACTCTTTCAAAGACAGTATTAAGTTACCTGACATATTTTCGTGCTAAGACCTAATATTCGTTTATTAGATCTTAGTTTCGTGTAAACTTAATGACAAGCCAAGTGTCTCCAGTTCATTCTGCACTCAATTTTACCCAAGCAAATTTTTTTCTTGAGTAGATCTTTATAGCACAGTGTTCTAAGCTTACAAATTTGCAAAAAAAAATTGCGTACTGACGCAGAATTTGCGTTTCAAGTTATAAAATGATCAATCTTTTAAATTATTTAATATTTCAGATGAAATAATCTTCAGAAATAAATCCTCAATGCATAAACGAATTAGGATAACAAACCATTTTATTACAGCAGTTCCCATTTTTTCTTTAATATAACGCTCTTTTTCCTGTTTTTCCTCAACACGTTTTCTTCCATGGAAGCTTCAAGATACCCTGAGAGCAATTTCTTTTATTAATGTTTGCGACCGTGTTTGAACTTAATTGTTTAAGTAGGCTATTGATATTTAACGTCATTTACAAATACTGTACCAATAAAATAACCCCATGAAATAAATGAGATATATTGAAAAATATGAAAGCCCACTAAGACGAGTTTCATACCTGTTATTACCTGGCTTGGGAATGGCAGCGGTGCATAATTAACAGGTTTTATTGTTAACGAGCTCTTGGTCAACTACAATGAATTTTAAAATGCATCAGCAATTAGTAAGCTTGCCAACTGATGACAGTATCTAAAAGACTATCAGCTTTTGATACGATCTAAAACACCTGAGGTGACTGAGATCGCGAGGATCGCAACTATTGTCACCGAAGTTAGTAAGTTAATCACGGAAGACCGTCACAGATAAAGAAAGATAGTCAAGGAGTGCTGCAATTTTGGTGAATCCCATGGCAACACACTGAGGCATAAAGAAAATTGTTCAACTCTGTTCAACATAACTTTCCAAAATCATTCTGTCTGTTTGCACCATGCAGCTCAGTTGAGTCTCATAGACCTTTATCCCAATTGTCGTCACAGTACCGTGTGACCCAGATCTGTTGCTTCATTTATGCATATTGAGGTGAGGTTTACTAAAATGCTTTTTTACTACTAATAGATTGTTTTTATAATTTTTTAATGGCGGGGATCGATTAAAACATAAGTCTAGTGTATAGATTGAGTGCTGAATCTTCAAAATTCGAGAAATGGATTTTTATATGACCATTGTCCTTTAAGGTGTTACTGTTAATCCAGTTGTTGGCCACATTTGTACATCTGTAATGCAGTCCCTGAGGCATTTTTCTGCTGGTTGAAAATACCAGGGGAGGATCCAGAGATATTTTCTGACAGTCTTCCAAATTATCTTTGTTGATCCATCCACCATTTTTGACCGTCTTCCGACAGAAAAAATTAGATACCCGTCAATGTAAACTTGGAAATCTGACCGTCTTCCGGAAGACCCAGAAGACGGCCTAAATCCGCCCCTGAATACAGTGTCTGTAAAATATATGTTGTGTGATGTTTGATATATATATATATATAGAGAGAGAGAGAGAGAGAGAGAGAGAGAGGGAGAGAAGAAGGTAGTACTCTTGGCATTTCACTTACAGCTGTGATTGAGACCTGGGGACCTTGGAGCCAATGGAGCTTGTGTAGTGTAAGTTGTGGCAGTGGTGTAAAGACGAGACAAAGGAACTGCACCCAGCCAGGATATACAGGAAGTAGGAATAACTGCCAAGGAATTTCCATTGACATGTTGCCTTGTAATCGCCATGAATGTTCAGGTACCCGGTACTCTATTTGATTGATGTTTACACATTTATGAGTAAAACCCGTGTGGCGTCCTATGACCAAGCAGCCATCAATTCAGCTGTGAATGATACTGTGATCAAAGCTGCAATTTGACTGCTAGCATTTAATTGTCTGTTGAGGATAATAACAAGGTTAATTAATGAGAAGTTTGTAATGCACAATCTGTGTACCCAACCAAGTAATATGTTTAACTCTTAACGTCCCATACCTTCTTACATGTATGTAGTATTATATTCATTGTTTCAGCTGTACTTACAGTCACATGTCATCTACTATACAGTGTTTTTCATTACATGTCATTTCAGCACCTAACATTGGGTTCTTGGCATTGGCAGTTGGCACACCCTGCATATTCATATTCATCCTGTGCATCATGTTAGTGATATGCATCATAAAAAAATCAAGACAAAGGCATACAGAAAGTGCCACACCTAGACAGGACATACAGCCATATGCAGTATTTTTTTCTGCTCCAACTGAAAATGTTTCATTGACCAACCAATCACAGGATTTGTGTCAACCTGCATGTGGTTTGTCTCACAACAATCTTTGCACTGTGAACTTGCATCCTGAACTTAAAAAAGAAACTTGGACTTGCCAGACATTGGTTCCACCAGTGAGCAGCTTTCCAGAACATTCAATTAATAATACATTTTCTTATCCACTACCATGTGTGGAGTCATCTGATGAAGAGACAACAGGTGGATATGCAATGGCAGACTTGGACATCAGCTGTCCTTTAAGTACAAGAAGCAAAGGTCTTAAACAATACCCAAGATACGGCCAAACTGAAAATGAAGTCTCCAATTTGTCTTCTGATAAAGAGACAACAGGTGGATATGCAATGTCAGACTTAGATGTTAGTCATCCTTTGAATACTGGAAGGAAAGGCACCAAACCATGTCTTAATACTAGGGAAAGATATTACCAAACAAAAAATGATGAAGTCTCTACTTTGTCATCTGATGAAGAGACAACAGGTGGATATGCAATGGCAGACTTGGACATCAGCAATCCTTTAAATACAAAAAGCAAAGGAGCTAGACTTTACCTTAAAAGATACACCCAAATGGAAAATGAAGTGTCCAGTTTGTCTTCTGATGAAGAAACAACAGGTGGGTATGCAATGGCAGACTTGGACATCAGTCCTTTGAATACAGGAAGCAAAGGTGTTAAACGGTACACCTTTACAAAAAATGAAACGTCTAATTTGTCACCCAATGAAGAGACAACTGGTGGATATGCAACTTCAGACTCGGGCATCAACAGTCCCTTGAATATGGAAAAAGAATATGGAGAATATATCCA